TAGACAAAATTTACCTATTACTATAAGTTGTGGGGAAACTGAAACTATACCAAAGAAAGTATGTCACAATACATGCTGTGTGGAGAGTAAGTCCACATTGATTGGTTGGGGTCGAGAGACAGATCCCCTGATCAGAAAGATAAAGCAATTTGGTATGGATCTGGGCGTGTAGCCTCTGGGTTAGGAAGGTTTTTGGTTATTTCAGTGATGTTTGTGGAATCCCAGGAGTAACTTGATGAATAGTGACTTAGTTGTAGAGTGCTTATGCAGGACTTTCATTCATGACATTTGCTATGGAGTACAACAGATTCATAATTATTAAACATGAATAATTGCAACTAGAAATGATTATTACAAGGTTGATGTCTATTAAACAAAAAAATTGCCAATTTTTATAAAGCTTCTCATTGTCATTTGGTTTATCATAATTTTGTTACATATTTGCTACAAAATTGGAGAGTATTTAGTTGCAAGTCCTTTAATTTATTTGAGAAAAGTAGGAAAACTTCACATTTGGTCATGGCCAAGAGCTGACTGCAATGAGCAGGGGTTGTCCTCAGATTTGACCAATTAGCTTCCAGTTGCTCCTCAGTGAGAGAGCAAGAAACTGAACAAATTTGTCAGATCTGACACAGAAGCTTTTAAATTTACTATACCAGACTGGAAACCTATTTACTTAATGAGAAATTCATTCTGTTGAATTTGCAGTTAAATATTTGTAATGATCACAGTAGATAATGTAAATAATTTCAAAATGATTTCAGTAAAGAGATTTAAAAATGATTTTATAGAAAAAATTCAGGGAGACATTGCTTGTGCAGGGTAGATAAGATCTATATATACTACAGATATATTACTGATGTGCCTAGAGCTTGTTTGTAAATGGATAGATTTAATGTAGCAACAGGCTATATTTCTACAGCTGTAGCTTCATGTATAATACACTTTTGAGAACCATAAATGCTCAAAGCCACTAAGAACTCAAATAGTCAGCCCTACCAATATTTCCGCATTCCTTGTTTTTTTTCTTTGTCTTTTTCTTCTCCGAAAGGTTTTAGCAGTTAACCCACTGGTCACTGAATGTTAATGTATTACTTATTTTTACATAGAGCTAGTTAGTTCCACAAAGGCTAGGTCACCAAGAGTCAATTATTAACCCTACTCATTTCACTTGTTTATTATTTTCCTTCATTTTTGGAAAGATTCATATAATTAGTAGTATTTTGATAATATTAGAATAGCCATAATATAAATAATGTAATAAGAGTATTGATATTGATAGCAGTGAGAAAAATGTTTTGTTGCCTTGCACGCACTGGAGTTCACTTTTACGTAGTTCTTACAAGATTACCATGAATGTAAAAAAAAATAAATCTAAAAGTAAGACATATCGATACTTATTCCTCAAAGTATGTGATGATCTTGTTTTGTGTTGCATTTGAATTTCCTTCTATTTTTTTTGTAAATTTTCTTAGAAATATTGAAGTACAATAATGATTCAAGTGCTATGTTGACAATTCAGAAACATTGAGCATTTTTTGTTTTATGGTCTTTATATCAAATATTTACGGAAGATGTCTTTTGACAATAGTTATGTCTTTCATCTAAGGCTCAATTTAGATGAGATGTTTTATGTATATATTTCACATTACAGAGCTTTTATAATGAATATGGAGGAAGATACGCAGTCCAAGGAAATTGTTGTAGCCCCAAAGAAGGAGAAGAAGGTATTCCGACCAGCTCGCAGCGTCATCAAGGGAGTTCCAGCAGAGATAGAGAAGGACCCCAAACTACAAAAAGCCATAGAGGTTCTTCCCTCAAACTACAACTTTGAAATCCCAAAGACAATATGGAGGGTGAAGCAAGCCAATGCAAAGCATGTTGCCCTGCAGTTCCCAGAAGGTCTTTTGCTGTTTGCCACATCTATTGCTGACATAATTGAAACCTGGACTGAGGCGGAAACCACAATAATGGGGGATGTGACCTATGGAGCTTGTTGTGTAGATGACTTTACTGCCAGAGCTGTTGGAGCAGATTTCATGGTCCATTATGGACATTCCTGTCTAGTCCCCATAGATCAAACAGGTTCTATACCTTGTCTCTATGTGTTTGTAGACATACAATTTGACACAGTGCATCTTATAGATACCATCAAATCTGTGTTCCCAAGTACAGTCCCCTTGGCATTAGTGTCAATAATCCAGTTTGTAAGTTCACTTCAAAAGATGGCACAAGATCTCAAAAGTTGTGGGTATACTGTTTGTGTACCCCAGTGTAGGCCCTTGTCTCCAGGCGAGGTTCTTGGTTGCACTTCGCCTCCTGTTCCTGAGGGACACACCATCGTATGCCTGGGTGATGGTCGTTTCCACCTGGAATCTATAATGATCTCAAATCCTGAGGTTCCAACTTACCTGTGAGTACCCCATATTTTATCCTGTAATGGTATAGAATTATCCCAAGTGCTATAGGTTATACTATGCAATACAAGGAAAATGATGCATTGTTTACTATATGACAGATAAGACTTGTCAAGAAAAATTAATATATGACATATATTTTTCTGTCTCGCATAACATTTGTATAAGTGACTGGAAGTGTAAAATTTAAATAGAGTTGATGTATGTGTAATCTGTTACTCGGAATTAAGGGTTATGAGTCAGGATCATGGTTGGATGTCTTAAATTTTTATGCAGCCCAAAATAAATTCATTTGTATTATTTACTAATAATTGAAAAAGTCAAATCTCTCAATCCCTTAAAACATTGTGATTTTCTCTCAGACTTATCTAGAATGTTGAGGAAATTTCAGAATGTTTTAAAAGTTATGTACATGGAGTCATCGAAAACCCTTTCATGCTCTACTCAATGAAATACTGTACTAAATTCTGCTAATTCTTTTCATATTTTATTTATGTAATAGAAACATTCCATACACATTCACTTCACAAGTAATTTGTGAATATTATATTTTAATCATTGTGTAATGTAGTATGTACACTCATATTCCATTCTCTCATAAAACAAGTATTTTATTCCAGGTATAATCCATATTCAAAAGTCCTTTCCCGTGAATACTATGACCAGCCCTTAATGAAGAAGATTCGCAAAGAGATAATAGACAAAGCAAGTACTGCCAAGAAATGGGGCTTGATTCTCGGTACACTAGGCAGGCAAGGAAACACAAAAGTTATGGAAAATTTGAAGGTTAGTGTTGCTTGTTGGGTGATTGTGATTAGTTTTCGATGTTATGTACATATTTGTATATATTTCAAAAAATTATTATACATTTTTTATGGAAATGTTACTACTCCATCAACAAAATAGATACTGAAGCTCCAAAATGGTACATGTTGATTGATTGTCACTATTATTTAGTTATTTTACCATTCATGAAGAATATATTAATCTGTCTTTTTTGAGAAGTCAGGACAAGTTTACACATAATTAAACATGAATGAGTCAAGAGATCGTTTTTAGCTTTTTTCGTTTAAATAATTTAGGTTTGTAGATCGCTTGAGAGATCAGCATTGTGGGTATGATGTATAATAATCCATTGCCTCTGGGAGAATGTGGGGTTCATTTGGCCTACGTTCTGGTGAATATGCATGGCCTGCAGTGCCTTTTTCAGATGTTGTATACACAACAATAGCCAATCATAGCATTACACATTCTGTTCTCCTTCAGGCAATGCTGTAGGGGATGTGATGTGGGCATGAGGGTTTCTGATAAAGCATGAAATGTGATGCACACATCATCATAACATGATATGAATGATCCATCACCCAGAACCATGCCCAGGTCAGCCATGACATGAGTAACAAGTCACTTGGAGCCCAGACCAAGTGGGCCATGACATGAACCCCATGTCATCCATAGGCTATGAGTTATAGTCAGTAGTGTGAATTTGGTTAAATCTCATTTTATCTAGCAGATGTATATAATGTTATCTCTCAAGTGAAATTTCTAATCACTTTCATTACAGAACCAGCTAGAAGCTGCTGGGAAAGACTTTGTAATAGTCCTGCTGTCTGAAATCTTTCCTGCCAAACTGGAAGCCATGAGTGACGTAGAAGCCTGGGTACAAGTGGCGTGTCCAAGACTGTCCATTGATTGGGGTGCATCCTTTCCCCGGCCTTTACTCAATCCCTACGAAGCGACAGTGGCACTAAAACATGCAGAATGGCATGCCCAGCGATATCCAATGGATTTCTATGCAAATGAGAGTCTAGGAGAGTGGACCCCTAATCATAAGCCACCATGTCCTTGCGGCCAGACACGAAACACAGGCTGCAAGGGTCTCAGATGTCCAAGCTCTAAAAAAGGAAGTAATAAAGATTGAGGAGTGATTGTTGATTGATTTATAACCATTTCCTTCAAAAGAATGTGGTAATGGTATCTAATATATTTTTGAGGTGTTTAGGATTTAATTAAAAATATTGTTTTATAGATATATGTTAATTAAATTAACATAAAAGGGAATCATCTTTTCTCTTGTTTCCATAGTGTATAGATACCTTTTTCCTGTTGTTATATACCATATTTTTATGATGTTCATAATGGTATTCCATTTACTCAAGGGAAAAATCTTGTTTTACTAAAAAAGTTCTATATGTCAAATAGAAGAGAAGCCTTTTTATATATATATTTACATAAAAAAAGAGAAAAATCAGACATGATTTTACACCTCACATTAATTACATATATACAAGTTTATATAAAATAGAAAGTCTGCAATTTAGTGATCTTCAATAATTTTTGGTGGTCACTTTCTCAACATACTCTATGTATAATGTAAACAACTGCAAAATATAAGTAACGGAAACAAATCTTTTAGTGGGAATGTATTACTTTGAATCATCTTGTGGAAAATCAAGAGAAAAATGGTATAGGAAGATGGAACTTTGTGCAGGTGCATATACAACCTCATTCACATACTACTATATGCAAAATATGTTATCTGTATTGCATAATGAAAGGGGACATTTAAATATAAATAAATCATCATACTTTCTCTTTTTATTTATTGGAAAAAGTATACATATACGACAGACATTTTTTACTTTCCTTCCTTTTCTCTTAACATTGAAATGTTCACATAAATAAATTTGTGGTGTGTATTTACATAAATAGTCTTCTGTAAATCTTATGTTAGTCAAGACCTAAGTGGAAATTGCATTTTAGGTCATAGATAGTGACATTAATGAGGTATGAAATAAAATACATGTGATAATGCTACTCTTACATATCACTTGAATTTGATAGTAATTTTTTTTCTACTTTTTCAAAATAAAGATCAAACACACATCAGGTAAGAATGAGATCCTCAATTTCAAAAGAGAAAAGGCAAAAACAAATCTCATCATACATTCCTAAAAACTCCATTAGAAAGAAAAAAGAAAGAAAGAAAAATCTGATGAGATACCATCCTGATATCTCTGTCTTGCCTCGGAGGGTTCAAGAATCGCCCTGATTACAGAGCATGCAACCTGAGGGTGCATATCCCTCAAGTGTTTTTGTAAAAAATAAAAGGGATTCGGAAGATGACGAAACAAGATATCATTTCCACATGGGCCACAACAGTGTGCTCTTTCTCACACTAGAGTGTCATACCCCCGTACGAAAACTCCATCTGGATGGCCGGTTCCTGGAATGCTAGCCAGTCCGAGGCATGGGTGGGAAGTATACCCATACTATGGCATTTGTACAGCGCCAAGCCAACATTTACGAAGTTTCCCAAAAGATAAATCAGTTTCTGAAAAATAAAAATTTATTACTAAGTAATTAAACAACAGCTAGTGAATTTAAAAATTAACCTAAGCATTAAGAACTACATATACTTTAAACATGTTCAAATAAAGTATTAATAACTTTTTGCAAAATGAAATCAATCTAGAAAAATCCTGGTATTCATACATATACTATCAGTACCAAACCAAACCAAAAAAAAAAAAAAAAAAAAAGATAATAGATGGATATATTTTGTGAAAAAAAAAATAATTAATAATGATAATAATAATAATAAATACATACAATGAAAAACAAAATGTGCTGATGTTTATATTCCTTCACATCTGACTTTTGTAAACAGAGTATCTTACCTTATCAAAATGTACATTCCAGTGAATTTTTAAAAATTTATTCTAAAATTTGTCAGGTATAAAGTAATACTGAAGTATTTACGAACTATTCCATCAATGAAATATAATAAAAGAAAAAGATAAACAAATACTTTTTCCGTATTCACCGTATTTCCGTTCACTCACTTTCCGTTCACTTTACATTTCACCCGACACATTTTCCTCCACAAAATATCCCAACCACTGTCACCCCCTTACCTAAACCCCTATTCCCCAATGATAATAATAATAATAATGAATAATAATAATATAATAATAATAATAATAATAATAATAATAATAAATAATAATAATAATAATAATAATAATAATATGATGATGAATGATGATGATGATACATTAATAATTAATAATATAATAATAATAATAATAATACATAATAATAATAATAATACTAACAATAAAAGCAATAACAATAATAATAACACCAACAATTAAAACACCTTCAATCGTTACCTGCAGTGCCGCATGAGTTCCCTCTATGGATTTGAAGGTGGTGTTGGTGGCCCAGAGTGCTTTGATGGGTCTTAGCAGCATCATGCCCACCATCATGATCGGGAAAATACTGATGCTGCTCCCGGCCATGAACATGAGGAAGAGGTTCATTGGGACCTGAAGTAGAGCAAGTGGAAAAGATATTTTTTGGGGGAGGAAGTATTGTTTTGTAATCTATGGTAAATATCTGACAAAAAAAAATTGAGAAAAATGTTTTCTTGACTTTGAAAGATCCTGTTTGATGTGATTTTTAAAACTTTTTGAAGCACATGTCGGCAAAAATCAATATAGAAAAAATATACATCTGAATACCGATAAAATTTTCATCATAAGGCAATATACCACCCTAATAATTTCTTAAACAAATCACCCTTACCGATTTGAGAGGGCTAAGCGCTATGTCCCATGCCTTCTTTATGACCAGATTTGGGTCGCCTTGTCTGTTTGCTTCTGCATGGACCTGGTTAACCGAACTCATGAAGCCTGGTGGTGCAGGGAGGTTGTCACTGCCCCGTTCCCCTCGGCGACCTGACAGATCCACTGCCCACTTCCGTTTGCTTGTTATGGTGCGGTTGGCCATTTTCCGTTTAGAGGGCTGCAGTGCAAAGTTTGGTAAAGAACTATATAAACTGTCTAAATTTTTAACCTTGCTCATTTTTGAGCTTTACTTGCATTATTATAAAAATCTCCCTAAAAAGAAAGTAAGAAAGTCAATGACAAGCAGCTACCTATAATACTCATTACAGGACTATCTACTAATTAATCTATCAATATAACCTTAAAATATCATTATACATATACACACCATTTTTTGCTTCTGTTTCAGTATTAATATCAAAATAATGAACAGACTACGGTAGCAATAACTTGCTCTCTCTGTTAACTAAAGATCACTGTTACATCCTACCAGTAAAACATTCTATTTTGTTTTCCTTATAACAGAGAAAAGACAAACATGCATGATTTGGATTCATAACTTTTTTAAAAAAAAAAATGTATTGTTTGGAGACATTTTTATAAACCTTTTACTTGGTCTCATAACAAGGTTGCTGAAGTTTTAAAATAAAGTTTCTGAATAAGCTTACTGACATAACACGGAAAAATATAGCCATGATGAAAGTACGCTTATCCCTTCCAATATTTACTGTAACTGGCATTTCAGCAACTTATCCAAATTGCTCTTAATCTCAAATGTGTCTTGACTCTGTGACAAGAAATAAAATTATAAATAAGGTAAAAGAAAAGCTATTTTCAAAAAATAAGCTTGCACCATCATTAATAAAACAGATACAACTATGCTATTTCTTGGTATTTCTACAAAATGGTGTCAGTGTTCCTACAGGCACCAAGAGAACCAGCCATTAAAGTAACACAACTTGTTGTTCTCTCCCAAATTTTTCATGATGTGATGGTCATGTTAACCAGATTTTCACATATTTGTTCCTTAGGAACCTTCACGAGCAATACAGAGACACTAGTTTCATTACTACTAGTGATTAAGGCCCTGTAAAAATATAACCATTTTTTCCATGGGGAAATCGTGTAATAATGAAATTTGTATTCAAAACATAGAATACGTTAACTTACCTATAATAAAGATAAGAAATTTTTTCTTAGCAAATCTTATCATCTTAGGCAAAATCTGATGATCAACAAAGATTTAAATAAAGACTTGAAATTTTACAAGTACATAATACAGTGTAATAAAAGTTGATCCAGAGTATGTATTGCATTTGGCACAACAATATTCAGTGCTAAGAATCTTCTGTTTATAATAGCTTTTGCTATACTGTATTTTTTTCTTCATATCAGCAGTATGCTGATGATACCACAATCTGCAACTTTTATTATCACTAATAATAAAAGGGCGCTGAAAACAACAAGTAGAAATAAGAGATAAAAATGACTATGAGGAGGTGATAAGTGCCCATTGCTAACACTCAGGATAAAGTGCAAAAGTGGCAAGATGGCTGAGTCTTCAAGGAGAGGCTTGAAGGGAACACCAAAAATATTGGAAATAATGGTATACAGCAAAGTAAGAGTGGATGTGCAAGTTATGAATGTTCAAGAGGACATAAAGTAAGTAGTGAAATTGAAGTATCTGGGGGAAGTGAAGTGGCAGCTGAGGAAAGAACAAAAAGCAGGCTGGAGGAAGTGGAAAGCAGTTGTTGGGGTGATCTGGGATAAAGGAATGTCAAAGAGGCTGAAAGCAAAAAATTACAAGATAATGATAAGGTTACTAATGACTTATGAAGCAGAGACATGGGTGCTTTAAAGTTCAGAAGCAATGAAGCTGGAAAGAACAGAGATAAGAATGTTAAGACGGATAATGGGCATATGGCCTCAAGAGCACTTAGATATGAAGAGGTGAAAAGTAGAGCAGGAGTAGAATGTACCAATGAAGAGATGAGAAAATTAAAGTTGAGATGGTTTGGGCATTTTGTATGTGATGAAGAAGCAATCACGAGAACCTGGAGGACAACTAGGAGGGAAAGAAGCTTGAGGTGGAATGGAAGCAACAGAGGAAAATGCAATGGTGAAGAATGCATGTCCTTCTCATTAGAGATAAAAAGTCAAAACTATGCCCCCTCTCCATGACAAAAATGCATAAATCTAACCCTTCCATTTTCTGTGGATACCTCCTGCCTTCCCAACCTAGTGTATTATTGATGCTGTTTGCCCAATACCTGCTAAATTTACTATAAAAGTACACTAGACTGTGGGGAATCAATCAATACCAAATCTAATGAATAAGAGATTGGGTAATTTTATAGTTTCACATAGCCATCCAACCTTGCAATTATTATTCCTTGTTTTAATCATACACATGGTAACATACATGAATCTGTTGTTGTTTTCCACTGCAAATGGTATAAATGTGTTTTGTAATGTTTTGCAAATGGTATAAATGTGTTTTGGTAACTGTTTATGTAGTGACCACACACTCCTGATGGTAAGTCTCCATTACTCCAGCCATTACTGGAAAATCCCCAAATGCCGGCATATCAATCAAATACCTTCCTAACCTAGGGGCTTCACCTTAGACCCACAAACTTTGCAATCTGGGCTTCACCCCCCGGATTCCCGAGTAAATTGCTGAAATTCCCTAGCCATTTGCCAGATCCCCCTCCAATCCCCATTTCTCCCTAACCAGTGTGATCCTTATGTGTACTTTGATAAGAGTAAATTCAGATTTTTTTTTTTCTAAATATGCCTGACAGAGGACTGGAAACTTTGCTGTCTTTTACCAGAGTACCATGGGCCGGTAGACTAGGTTGATCGCTTGACTTACATCAGGTGTATCAAGAAGTTTTCCCCCAAAGCCTCCAAAAGACGAAATTATTACAATAAAAGTAAGCGAAACATCATCTCAGTTTTCCGGTTGTCTGTCAAACGCTCATCATCAACCAGAAACATCACACAAAATCACCTTAAAAGCTTCTAAACCACATCCAACACTTCAAATCAACCACACAATAAAACTTAACGGAAGGAAAATGCTCAAACTCACCTAAAAATGTTAAGTATATGGTAGAAGATTTTACGAAATGCTTTGTTTACGCTGAATAATCAGCTGACGATCGACATTTACAGATTTTGCGTTCGTGTAAGAGGATTGATGTGGATTTACCCTACGCAAACCGTCACATGGATATAATTTTTCTACTTTTGTCCATTCCTTTACTAATCATCAAATAGATGAAATATATTTAACGTTAAGAAAAACAAAATATTAGTAGATGATCATGGAGACAAAATAAACGGCCGGTTTGTTAAAATTGCGAAAGACCCGACCACGATAATTATAAATACATATGGACATACAAATACTCAGTATATATATATATATATATATATATATATTATATATATATATATATATATATATATATATATATATATATATATATATATATATATATATATATATATATATATATATATATATATATATATATATATATTATATATGTATGTATGTATATATATACTATATATTCTATTACATATATACACATATATGCATATATGTATGCACGTACGTACATACGTATGTATGTATATCTGTATAATTATATATATGTATGTATATATGCATGCATGTATGTATGTATGTATGGGTACATATATACAGCTGGGAGCCTAGACAGATAGACAGATATACCTTCCTTTCTGTGCATGCTGTACGTATAAACATTCACTGGGTCGGGCCTTTCGCAGTCTTAACAAGCCGGCCGGTTTTTCATCTTGTCTCCATTAATATTTATGAACATTCTCCTTCTTTTGTTATTGTCAAAGATATTCATTATGAAAGCTTATCTTATTTCATTTCGTTATCATCTAATATTATTTACAATAATTCCGTCAACGGTCAATGTAAACTTCTCATCTTATTATTTTATCTTGGACAATTTTTAATAAATCAAAACAAGACATTCATCACATGACTAACTCATCTTCTGCTGTTATCTTTAATAACACTCTAGTAAATAACAAAAATAAGCTTTAAGAACAGATAAGAATAATCCAGATTTACTCGTCGTCGTAAGATAGTGTATTATCACCTGTTATAAGTATTTTCAAAATAAACTTATAGATATGGATTCGGAACAAAATGGAAAATGTACTGTACATGAATAATATATATGTTGCTGTATATAAATAGCTGTGAATCCCAGGATGCCCCCCCCCCTCAGTTTTATATCCGGCCATCAGCTTTTCTTTATTGTTTGACTTCTTTTCATATTCAGCATTTTCAAAATCATTTATACCGGTTGTCATGCACTTAGTTACCAAGCGGAAGTGGTGGCTGTTATTCCCCTGTCAAACCATGGTTGGGAGTGAGATGTGGCTTGTTAACACCAACTTTTTCATGCTCCCGTTTCTTTGTTTTAAGTTGTCACTTTTTCAGTTTCTGCTCAGTTGATACTCCTCAGTCTTCTGTTTATAAGCGGGATGGCAAAATGACGATGGTACCGAGGCAGTGTCCCCTGAATTTTTACCCCAATCGTTGTGAACGCCTGCTCGGCTCTCTCTCTCTCTCTCTCTCTCTCTCTCTCTCTCTCTCTCTCTCTCTCTCTCTCTCTCTCTCTCTCTCTCTCTCTCTCTCTCTCTCTCTCTCTCTCTCTCTCTCTCTCTTAAAGTGATGATCCTCTTCAAGTTAATTCTGAGTGCGGGCCCCACCAAGTCCCTTGCCTGATGACAAGTATATAAGTTAGGGCCAGATGGCTAACTGACCTCAGAATCGGTCGTAAAGTGTTTCTGGTTTGTATATGTATATTGTAACCGACTTTCGTAGAGCCTCAGAGGGCATGTTGTCTACAATGGGTGAACAAGAACCCATCTCGACGCTATCGATTGTTCATGCCAACTCGAGTCAAAGAAAAATAGTTGGCACTCTGTCTCGACGTCGTAGGGTTGAGCTAAAACATCGGAATGTGATAGGTGCATCTGAGTGAACAGCCGACTCACAAGTCCATCATGTAATGCAAAAAGGTACTTTTTTACCTTCGTTATTTGAACGTCGCCATTACCCATGTGGTGCACAGGTACTCGAGATCACAGTGACACGGCTGGACTTGAGGCTGAAACTCACAGTCAGGCTTCTTCAGAAACGCGCGCTGCCGACCGCATCGAAGAGACACCAGGGTATGACAGGGCATGTAACGAGGGGGATGCCACACATAAATACACACGCGTGAAAATGTACAAAAAACATTTATTATATGAGTACGCATATAATATAATCAGTAATAAGCAGCGACAGTGGTGATAACATTAACAAATAACAAATGAAATGATAATGATATTTACGATTTAATAATGTAATGATTACCATTATCAAAATCTGTGTTATTTCCCTATCCTCAGGATCAGTAACAAATTACTCAATTGTTTACAAATGTTTCTTTCACATCATCCTATTTGTTCCATAACTGGTTCTTATCAATTAATTGTCTGCCTATTCACCCACCTCAGTATACTCTCGGCACATACCAATTACAAAGGTGCATGCATCACCTATACATACACATCCATGCAACAGGAACAACGAACGGAAGACCAAGAAAACACACGAACATGCCCGTTGTTGTTCCTGTTGCACTTTGTTCGACATGGATTATACACATCCATATGCTCCAGAGGCTGCCAGGGATGATCGCCGGAGAGAGTGCATGTAGTTCATCCACAATAAGGAAATAAGGGCAATGGAACGCAAGAACACGTTTGTGGATTGGTAGATTAAAACCGGGTACGGGCACGGGCGTTCTGCTACATATAACGAGCATTGATAATATATCACTAGTTATTAATGATATTACAGATGATACAGATGATATATATATAGAACTGTCATTATTATCTATGTTGCCTTTAATGTTAATAATGATAATGATTGTTATTTTTTCTATCATATTTATCGTCATCATCACTTCTATTATGATTATCATATTATTATTATGATACCTTATCATCATCATATCACTATCGATCTCATCCTTTCTTTCAACAGACACTCATGCAATAATTAGCAATAGTATGCCTGGTCTGCATGTCGTTTTTTTTCTTATTCTGGAATTTCAAGAGAAAACGATTGGGCAATTGCAGAATTTCATCTCTCTAAGCTCCGCCCCCATGTACCGAAGGACGGTGGCAGGGAGACTGGTAAAGGAGACCTTGCCTGCAGGTCTCATAGCTTAAGCCAGTCGTGGTTTAGCACGTGTTTAGAGTACTGTCTTCCGTCATATCTGTCCCGAATCCTTAATCCGTTTATCCTTTTATTTGGGAGTGTTATAGCTGTGGGTATTCCAGTAAATATCTTTGTATTTATTGCGTGTTAATTACTTTGTTCGTTAAATGTCTTTCTGTGAGACCATTTCTTCCAGAGACTCAGTTTGGTTTTAAGTGACTCGGCTTAGATTTGGACGTTAGGCATCATGGGTATATTGGGGGTCTTTCATACAAGATTGAAAGTGATAATTCACATCCCCTTCATAATTTTTTACTTGATTTTCATCAACCTGCAAGTTACTAGAAGTTCTATAACCCTCAATTGAATGACATTTGATGCAAGTCGATCCTATACATTTTAGTTTTCTGGATGCTTTTTTACAGCTATTTACAGACTTTGGAATAGATTGCCCTTATAAATTGTAACTTTTCCGACTCTGGGTTGGTTTAAAAGATCAGCTAATATACTTTTACTACATGAATAGCTTATGAAATTTTATTTTCTCTTTATTTCTTAGCTGTGTTTTTACGTGCCCTGACACTTTTGGTGGTATAATTCTTTAATTTTTCTGTGTGGTTCTTTATATAGCTTAAAATAAGAATAATAACAATAATATAATACACCTTTGGGACATGTAAAAAATTAAGACAATGTACACGTGATTCCCCAGTATAATCGCAGAGTTGAAGTGACCTCCGCGTCATGGGCTTGTATCAGGGTCACCTCTGCCTTTTACCAACATGGCTAACATTGCGCTGCCATCTCAGACTTAGAGCCAATGGATGTGATCGTGATACTGAACGTAAATGAGAAAATAAAAAAAGGATATGCGAGATCCCGAACCTTGCCAGCGTTAATGATAGAAAAAAAGGCTGTTATTCCCACGGATTTACAAAGGGTTAAATTGAGGTGGATCAAGCTACTGGTTTGAGATCGTTGTAATTTCAAGCCAGTGCTGAAGGATTGCGGAGGTAGACCATATTTTGCAGGCCAGAATGATGATTCAGAGCTCAATCGACTCCACAACCGAGTTCAACTAATCGAAGCCATCATCTTCAGCATCCAACAGACTTTCTGCTCGAAAATTAGTTTGTCTCGGTTAAGATTCGCGCTCCAAGGGGAAAGAGCAGAGCCAGATGAAGTTTAATATCTTGAACAGGATACAGGAAAATATCACTATGTATTGCTGTCAGGTACGTACCTCGGGTCCTGTAGACGGGACAAAGGTCAGACCTGTCAGCAGGCCTAATGTAGGTTCTGTATTAGGAAGCACGACTCCAGAATCTTGAGAGCCGCGACTAACAAGGGAGACAAGATGCCACCACATATCTTATACCTTCATTGTCAGGTTGGATGACAGTGTATTCATTGGCTCCGGGTAAGATGGACCTCGGCTTTGGCGGCTGCAGGCTTCACGTTTCTCACTTGTAAGTAGCTTCCGTGGTTTCTGTGTTTTGGACGGGTGATTCGTCAAGGTCTCTCATCTCCCATCATTGTCTTTTGGCCCGATATGTCCTAAACAATCACGTAGTGTAACTAATCGAGGAAAGGAATGACAGAAAAATCCGCTCCCGTAAATCAGAGAAACGTTAGAACCTAGAAAATAACACTACCAGAGCCAAGGTTCATCTTAGCCAGAGCTTCCACAAATTTTGTTATGCAACTAGACAGTGAAGGTTTTCTTACACCCACTGCCTGGTAGCAATGGGCGAGGGAGGTGTGGCCATATTCAAGGTGCTCGTCGTCTCATGTCACTACGAGGATTAAGGAAACGACTGGCCCTGACGTGAAACATGCAGTAGACCTCTTGCAGGTTGTTCATCAACTGTTGGGTGCCAAGCTACTTCAGTATATATATAGTTTGCATAACTATACTAATGCCCCGGGTTCTTCGTCAGCATGGTATGTTCGTGATTACTTTTGGTAACATTAGTGTCCTCTGCAATCTTGTACATAGTTTCTCGATTGGCAGTCAGGCTATATTTTTTATTTATTAAAATATGCCTTATCTGATATTTAAGTTCCTAGATTTCTCAGATTCATTCCTGGCAGGTCGAGCAAAAGGGTTATAGATAATTTTTGGCACTGGAAGTTAGACTGTCAAGAGCATAGTCACAATTTCCGCCCAACCCTTTTTACACAGTCAGTTAATAAGCCTATCCATAAATCAAACTCAACAATCAATGTTCTAATGGAAAGGAAACTGAAAGAAAGGCGGCTACCCGTTCGGCCTTGATCACGAGGAGAGTGATCACTTTTAATATCTAATTTTCATAATTATCTCTATTTCCTGTTAATTTTCTATATTTGACATTATTATTTATCAGAAATCGAGTTTTTAACCTACACATCTAGCATCTATCGGAGGACATCAAAAACCCGTTATGGGTAGGGGAGTTTCACTCCTTCCCGCTACAAACTCGTAGGTTTTTCATTGGGATTTTTTCTTGCTCTCCTGCCTCCCACTCTGGTTAGTTTAATAGATTCAAATACGCATGGGTTGAAATGTTAAAGGGAAAATGCTTTTAGCAAGCCGAAAGAAAATGACCCTCAAAGCTCTTCATACACGTTCTAAGGAGCGTTTTGATTAGCAACCAATCCACATTTTGAACACTAAATTTTGGAATATTTCGGTCCTTGAGGGGGTAATTTTAATAATCTAGGTGAAAAAAATCGAAGAAATGAAAAAGTTCGAAAAAAATCATGTGAATTCGGTTAAAAGTCGGCGTGATGCGACATTTTGGCGGGCATACGTGCAATCCCTTCCCTTTAAAATTTAAAGGTACGACGCCGCGCGTTGTTATAAAGTTCACATTTTCTGTTGAGTACGAGCTCTTTCGTTCCTTAAAACATGTAGTGTTAATTCAGAGTGAACTTATAATAAGTGTGTAGAATCACTAATTGTACATATTTGGTGAAAACGAGCATAGCTTAGAGACAAGAGGGAACGACGTCGAGAAAGGGATGGTGGGTTTGATTCAGTAGATAGGCTCTCAAATGGAGAGGATTGGAAGGTGCCTAGGGCTAAACGATAACCGCAATGGTGGTCTGTATCAAGGTATGTGATAAAGGAGGCAGAGGCAGAATATATATGACAACCATAATCAAGGGTGGAAAGGATTAGGGTAATATGGACATGGAGAAGTGTTTTGCAGTTTGAATCCCGGGATATATGTGAGAGTCTGTAAGAGTCGGAGGCAACGGCGGGTTCTTTCTTTAACAGAAAGGATATGATCTCGCAAAGTCAGCCTGAGTCAAAAATTACACAGAGGAACTTGCCTGAATAGCGGAATTGGATGGAAGCCTCATATCCAAAGAGTATAGGCTGGAAGACTATATAGGTGAACGAGAAAAAAGGTTGGAAAATGTTTTAGAAAATCGAAGACTGTGGTTGGTAGCCCAAGAATAGATTGATGTTATTGCTGACTGGAAAATCTGATGGAGAGAAGGAATGGAAGGAAAGGCAGAGAGGACTAAATAATCTACGTACAGTGATGACCAGATTCCTGGTGGTAGAGCTGAAACTAATCCGTCTACAGCTATGAAAAATAATGTGCTGAACACAAAGTCTTATTAGACACCTTCGAATTGAGGTAAAGAAGAGGAAACAGAAGCAGCAACTCTGACACGAAAAGTGCGATCAGGAAGAAAGGACTTTCTGAAAATACCCATGTTTCCCCTTATGCCATTGGAAATGGAGGCAGGATGTGGAGGATGTTTAAGTTTATAGATCCGTCGCCAGACTGGTGTAGATGTTATAGAGCGTACATAATTTCTCCAGCTGTTTGTGATAGAGTTTTGTTTTGTACGGCGAAGATGACCTTTTTAAGTGATATGAGGGTTGTTAATTAATTGACTGGGGTGCCTTTCTTGCAACGGTAGCTATTCCAAGCTGCACGTTTTAGTCTAAGCGTTTTAGTACATTCTAGGTTCCATCTTGGAACACATTTTGAAGTGTAAGGTCCGGAGTTTTGGGGAATGGATGTATGGGATCCAATTACGATATTCATTGTGGAGTACAGGAGCATGTCTGAAGAGGAAGAGAAGGATGATGGAGGAAGACTAATAGTGCAGCGAGAGGTAAAGGTATGCCATTCAGCACTGTCAAAGCACCAGCGAGGGCGGTTAAGGAGTGAGACATGGGAAATAGGCGAAAGAAGAATGCGAAAGTGACCACTATAAGGAAGGTAGTCTAGAACTGATCAATGGGTCAAGGCGAAATCAAAGAGAAAGATAAGGCATGAAAAAGATAGGGGCGCATGTCAAGATGAGTTGGATGGTTTGGATTTAGAAGGGCAAGGTTACCCCGAAGGGTGTGACGACAATTAAAATCACCGAGTATGAGGAATGGTGGTTGAAGTTGAGAAAGTGATGTTTTGAAAGCATTAAAGTCATTGGAAAGAGAAGGGGAAAGTAGATTGAAATAATTGTGATCCAGCAGCGAAGAAGAGCGAACAATTTTGCAAGGGATAGTAGTTTGAAAGGGAGATATGGTGTATGGTGTTTTTTGGTCGACGAGTATAGAGGAGCTAGAGAGTGGAGGGATGATATAAAAGCATAATTTAGATTTGGCTCTGGAGCTTGTGTTAGGAAGGTTTCTTGAAGACCGATAAAGGATGAGTTGTAAGAAGATATGAGGTGACAAAGATCAGGTCTGTGGGAACGAAAGCCTCGAATGTTGATCCACTGTAGAAAAGGCGTTGCAAAGCAATCAGCAGGCGGTAAGGGTAAGTAAGAGGAGGTTGAGGTAGGGGATTAGGGGGAGGTGAAGGAGTTTTTTTCGGAGGTTCTTAGGGAAAGATAGGATCCGGGGAAGGGTATTGTGACAAAAGGGGTTCACGCGTGTAACCAGGAAGGAGTGGAAGGGATATTGGGGAAGGACGGGGGTCTTGTTTGGGTGGAGGAGAGGATGGGGTATGATGGGAAGGAGTTGGGGGTAGTGGGAATATGAGGAGGGTCATGCTTAGGAAGATTTGGATGTTCTCAAGGCTTTCTAGAGGGGAGTTGGGTGGAGAGGGTTGGGAACGAATGATTTTTTATGAGGTGAAGAGGAGATACGCATTTGAGGAGTGGAAAATGTTGTAGGTGAGGATGTGGTAGTTGAAGATGGGGTGGATCGTTTAGCTCGTCTTGCGCAATAGGTAAGGCGAGCAGAAGCAGACATAGGGAAAGTTGTGGATATTGGATTATCTGGATTTAGAATGGAAAAAAGGACTTGATTGGATGCTACGGAAAGTGAGGAGTTTGGGGAAGATATGTACATAGTCTGGGTAGAGGGGATAGGAGTGGAGTGATGGATAGTATTAAATTTGTATCTGGTGCTACCTTGGGCAATTTTAACATGGGGGGGGATATGGTCTGACATGGCAAGATTCTCCATGTAGACCTTATGGTGAAGGTTGTGTCTATGGAAAGTAATCTTAGCAATATTGACATGGGACTTATGGCAGCCTCTAGCAGGGATAGTGTAGCACTATACAGATTCTGCAGCAGCATCAGGAAGGCATGCAAGTAGATCTTCACAGTCTGACCTATTCTTGTCGTAGACAGGGCAATCAGCAGGGCAATCAGCTGGGGAGATGGAAATATTTCCCGTACAAGAATTGAGGGAGGAATGAGGTTGAGCAGGAATAGGTTAACCCTTGAGGTCAACAAGGTTAGATATTGAATGGGCTTGGGACTTGGATGTAAATGTGACAAGGCATGAGCAATCGGGATAACTGCAGAAGGAGACTTTGCCTACTTGTTTATGGAGGCATTTTTGAAAAAAAGGATATTGCAGGGGAACCACAAAATGATTGATCCCATTTGGATGGGCTATACAGAGTACTCAAAAGGTTTTAAGATGTGGTAATTGCAGAGGGGTGAAGACGGGAGGTGAAGACAAGACTATGCAAAATTGGGTGACACGAGGGCTGAAGTGTAAGGTAGGGATGAATGGAAACATTGGTCATCAGCCCTCGCTTTCTATGTTCCTCCAGGATAACAATGGGCATCATATTGGTAAGGCAAGGATTTTATTTTATATATATATATATATATATATATAAGTATAAAAGAAAATCCTTGCCTTACCAATATGATGCCCATTGTTATCCTGGAGGAACATAGAAAGCGAGGGCTGATGACCAATGTTTCCATTCATCCCTACCTTACACTTCAGCCCTCGTGTCACCCAATTTTGCATATATATTATTATTATTATTTTATTTTATTTTTTCCTTTTTCTAATTCATTGGATATTTGGAATATATTAGTCAGGAGCGATTATAGTGTCAACGTTAATGGGTAATAGTAGCGAATGAAGATGGCAAAGTGAGCATTTTATATTTTTACCAAATTTGGAATGGTAAGGATAATGCCTCAAGTGATCAAAATGATAAATTTTTTTTATTGAATTTGTCTTTCTCTTTCCACTTCTTGTGAAGAGATATATTAGCAATTTCAACAAATGAGATAAAATAAAGTTGTTTAATAGTCGTATTTTATTTTTCCTTTGAAAAGTTTTTTTTTTTCTGAAACCAATTCAACAACTGAGTTAACTCCCTCAAATCTTTATCAAATGATCAATTGCTTCTTGATATGACGACATAAATCAAGAATTTATAGTTTGTTTGGTGGCACAAAAGTAAATCCACATTTAACTGGAGATATGTTGTACTTAAGTAAATATTTATTATCACTTCCAAAATTATCTTACAACAAGTGCCATTGCCAGAATATTTTGTTCAAAATTCCTCTAATCATTAGTAAATAAAGATACAATTGATTTGTAAGAATAGGTCAATATCTTCAAACAAAACATAAAACAAACTTCACATTTAATTTATCAGAATATACATACACTACTCAGTGTATACTGACAGGTATACAGTTCTCATAAAACCATAAATTACTCACTCAGTCAAGGATCAGACCTAATATACAACATAAAAATTACTCCGTCTAAATTTTGTCATCCACCATAACACAGACGTTGTCATACTCAAATGAGGCCAAGTTATATACCATATATATACAGTATATATATATATGTATGTATGTATCTAGATATTTATAACATAAATGTCAATACTGATGCTACTGAGATATACAATACTGAATGAATTTTATATTAATTAAAATGATAAAATAATAATGATAATTGCAATAATAACAAAGGAACAAATGAAAATAATAACACGTAGCAATACTTCTTAATAATCATCATAATCATTAATACAGTTTACAATAAAAAAAAATTAACATATGAAACAACACTATTTTCCTGCATGTTATTTGTGACATTGAGCTTATTTTAGGCTCGCAATTGACCCAAATGCTAGACAAGAGGAACCATTATCATCGTCATATTAACTATGAAACTGATAAACACGATGGTATTGATAATGATGATGGTGATGATAATAACTAATACTGATGATGATAATGATAAAAATAATTATAATAATAATAATAATGGTAATAATGACAGTAATAATTAGTATTATCAGTATTTAATATAACAATGATGTGATAATGAAAATATTATAAATAAAAATTTTATGTATCTATTTATTGACAACTAATAACACCAGTATATCAAATCAATACCTAGATGAAAATCTAAATGAAAATGCAGTATGAAATAATATAAATAAATAAAACGCACAACCTATATCTATATACATATATAGAATGAGATTATATAATACTCATTGTAACTAACAAAGTCCTTTTATTTTTCTGCAATGACAATAATGATTTCTAAAAAAAAAAAAAGAAAAAAGAGTGATGTACAAATTGAGTACCAAAAAGATATGAGAAATTTTAAGAATAAGTTTTAGGCCTCTCTATATAAAAAAAAAAATCTTGAAAGGAAATAAAAAAAAGGTATCAAATACACTCTTATCTCTAAGGGTTCTTATAGAAGACAAATTCATCACAATGCAGATATTTTCTATCACAAACTTCATATAAAACATTAAATAAATATCTACACCTCAACAAAGGATTTAAAAGCAGATCTTGCTGTTCTGTCACCGAGTTCTACAACATTATTTTCAAAAAAAAAAAAAAAAAAAGATGAGTACAAATTTTCTTCTTTTTTCCCCCCATTTTCATTGTATGTTACATGTTAATAAACTGAGGATCTTTATGGATTTCCTTCTTGGATTAGTTTCATCAGAACCTAATCCTCATAAATTATAATGCTGCATCTGTCTGTAAATGCTCTGAAATCATTTCTTTTAACTTTAATCCAGCTAAAGGTTTTCAAAATACATGAGTTAAAACAGGACCGTACACTTAATTTTCTTGCAAAAAGAGATATCAAGAGAATGAGTAAAGCTACATGTCTAACTGCAATGTGAACTTTAGTCACTGAAGCTTTGTTGTTACAGTTTTATACAACTCATATTGTTGTAAATAACCTTTGAGGAAAAAACACATCTATTTGGAAGAAACCTTTGGAACATGATAAATCTAATCTTGATAGGTTGTCACAATAAAACCATAGTCATTCTTTATAGAAAAAATGTTCTCTGTAGCTCTTTAAAGAAAACAACCATTCTCTGGTCTATAGAAAACAAGCATCTCGCATCTCTGTACATCTTTACAGAAAACAATAATAAATCAAGTAATTCTCCAGATTTGTTAAACTTTAAAAATATTCAAAATTCACACATATGTGATAAAGAATTGTGAGAGCATAAATAAAGCTACTTAATCTCATGGATATTCAACTGTGTAAAGAAAAAAAAAATCTATCCATTAAAAATACTGAAAATAAATTATTTACAACATTATTCAGTAAACCTGCCTCCTCCTCTGATAATAAAATTTTAGAAACAATTTAAAATCTACTTAATGAGCAGTCATATCACATAAGAAAATTATGGCTGTCCCTTGCCTCTAAGGAGAAAGCATATAAACTCTTTTATTCTACTAATGCCACTGTAACTGTCATTTTGGTGCTACTGATAAAAGAAATCTATTAATCATAAAAGCAAATTTCACTAATTATTTGTAACTGATTCCTGTCGCTTTCATGATATTTCTCCTTCAATTTTCTTATAAAGAAAAAGTCTAACCAGGATAACATAGCATCTTTTATGGCATTAAATAATGTACATATTTACATAAAATCTCATTTGTAGAAGCTACCCGTAATTTAAAATGCACTCACAATTACATGTCAAGTTTGATGAAAACTATAGTCAATAAGGCACTAATAATAGCTAAACTGTGCTTATCTGCACCTAGGTAACTTGATACATCTTTTCCTGACACCGATCAGTACATCAAATTTTGGAAAGATCCTGTTAACTCATGACTCTTTTTAATTACCTGTTTATAGTAATCTATACATACTCGTTATTTCTACTCTTAGGACTGGTAAGGCACATAACATAGCAACATGAAATCTCTTTTCTTTTCTTGCCTGTGAAATATAAATATCACATTTTTAACTTCTTAGATGGGTTAGTAGGAAAATCCCTTTACTGACACTAGTTTATCACTTTCAATATTTTCCTAAATATCATTCTTCATTTATATAAATTACAGGAACTTGTATAAATGCCTCAGATTGTTCATAATACCTGTGTCTGTCAAATCACTGCACTGCTTTTCTTGTTTTCACATTAGTTAATACAATTTCCTGTGTTTACAAAGACCATCCTTATTTTAATGTTGCTTTTATGTTTCTGTATGCAACAAAAACTGGCAAGAAATACATGGGAAATTTTCTGTTACCAAAATTTGTAGATCTATTACTGGCAATATCCTAAAGTATCTTATCCTTCTTCATTGGTAAATGCAGACAATGTTACATTGCATAATGCAAATTTCAACTAAAATTTGTAAATGATTTGAAAACTTTTCATTCTCATTTCTGCTTTGTGGAATTCCAATGCTCTCACAGGATTAAATACAAAAAAGAGAAAAAATTCACTATCTGTTCTTTACATATATAAATATCTACAGTTTATTTCATCATCTAAAATGTCAACTGCACTTTCTCAAGGCTTTGTTCTGTACTTGAAAAAAAAAAAAAAAAGAGAAAGGAAATAAAATAAATAATTGCTTTTCCATATGGCCCAATAATGGACTTAAAATCATGAAAAGGGTGAAATAACACGTCACCCATGCTCAGTGCTCTGGGAAGAACCCATTCGTTACCTTCACTGGTCCATTGATTACGTTAATGGGAGAGTCCACGTCCATCCCATTGGTGATAAAACAGTTATGAGCATCTTCAACACTCTTGATCATAAGATCTGATGTCAAAATAATGTCTTTTCTATCATTGACCATCATTTCCGAGGCCGGAGGGGACAGCGATGCGAACTTGCCAGCAGAGTCTAGGTTGGCCTGATGTGAGAAAGAGAGCTTGGTGGTGGCAGCCAAAGGTCTCGGTTTGTGGAGGTGCATGTCCAGTCCAGAGCCTGGACACGAACCACAGGCACTCACATCATCTTCCTCTGTTAGGGATAGAATGAAGGCATTACAGTATGTAGATTTGAAGTTTTGTATTCTGAAGATAATACCTGCCTTGATTAGAAGTTTAAAAGTGATTTTAGGGTAGTTTCCGGGTAGGAAGTTTTCTGTGGACTTTTCTTGTTTATTTTATAGTTTTGTTTGTGTGTAGTTTTATTTTAGCTTTATAGCCAATAGCATATATATATATATATATATATATATATATATATATATATATATATATATATATATATATATATATATATATATATATATATATATATATATATATATATATATATATATATATATATATATATATATATATTATATATATATATATATATATATATATATATATATATATATATATATATATATATATATATATATATATATATACTATATATATATATATATAATATATACTATATATACATATATATATATATATATATATATTATATATATATATATATATATATATATATATATACATCATATATACATATACATATATACATAATACAAAAATTTTCTTAAATTTAGAATGTAAGGCGGAGATGCTATAACAATTAGTAAACTATAACATTTGAAAACCTCACGTATAGAGTTCCACTATTACAAACAAAAAAATCCTTAAAACAAAGAAAACAACAAGTAAAACAAATTACTCCTATGTACACATCTCCCTATAGGTACATCCATATACAGAAAGACACGTGTTTATATATGTATGCACACATATGCAACTCATAACCATAGAAAAAATGCTACCTGGAAAATAACCCATTGAAACAAGATGCTACACATATAATCACTTCATGAAATAGTAGTTATAGAATAAAATAAAAAGTTTACGCACTTTCTGTACCAGGAATAAATGATAATAAATGAAAATAAAATTCTTCACCTGGAAACAAGCCTCCAAAATATTATGTAAAGTGTGTTCTCAGATACACTGCCTTATTATGCACAAAGTCTTCAGGAAAAAATAAAACCAGTTATAAGCAGAATGATTCCTGCTCATATCTTTTTAAATTTATTTCTATTTTGTCAAAATTTACAGCTTTTATGTTTAAATAAGAATGATGAAAATCCATTATTGTATAAGTATTATATAATTAAAATCTCTTAAACATTTAAAATTAAACACCTTGAAAAAATAAAGGAAAATATAAATGAATGAGTATGAATGAGAAAGATGAAAATGAAAAATTTGTACAATAAATCAAATATCATAATTTTTATTCTACTTGATTATTTGAATTGTTGTTTCACAGCTGATGATAGCTATAACTAATTAAATTTCTTTCTCATTATAAACAATCATTTCCAATTTTCAAAAAATAAAAATGAAATAATGATAATAATAATAAAATAATAATAATAAAAAAAAAATACTAAGAAGTTCTAAACTACCACAATACATCACTAGCCATGAAAAGAAGAAAAAGAAGAAGAAAAAAGGAGAAACAGATATAACAACAAAAGGAATAACAAGCAGCTAAGTACAACGCACGAAAACTCACCTGCGCGAAGCATATGCCTGAGAGCTAGCCTTCCACTGCAGATGCATTGATTATGCAACAATATGGGAGGGGGGAAGGGGAGGAGACAGAGAGGGTCTTGCATCACGCAACAAGACCAAATATATATATCACAAAACTCAAACACAACTTTGCCACGGTCAACTAAGTAACATTTCAGCAAAAAATTACTAATCTATATGTCAGGAATTCTCATTTAGGATAAATGAAAAATGGGAATGAGGGGGAAAAAAAAGTGAGTGGAGGAAAGGGGAGATTTTAAACTTGTGAAAATGTGCTGAACGTGGCAACAAGTGTACTTCTGTACCTTTCAAGGCAAAATACATATAAAGTATATACAAATGAACACAAAATGTGACAAACTGGAACAGAAAAATATGTCCATACACAAGGCTAGCACCAGGGATATGCAAGCTAATATATGCTAATCCATATTTGAAAAGCAGGCTACAAACAAAACAAAGATAATGATTAAAACAAATACAACTAAGGGAAGATAGGAATAAAAAACAAAATTATAACATGCGCATAAAACTTCAAATGCAGTTAATTACTTTATCGAACAAAATATTGCATTCACACAGTCTTTCATATGCTACCATACACAAAGCATTTGATTAATTAATACTTGAACGCTAAAAATATTGGAAAATTTGTTTATAATATATCAATTACTACAGCTGTTAACAACAGCAAAAATGAATATAAAATACTATATTATTGGACAATTATAAAATTAGGTGTGCAAGGTTTTAAGTTGGCTTGGAAAAAGAGGTAGAGGGAAAGGTGGAGGAAACGAAAACAGAAAAGAAGTAGGAGGGGGGGGGAGAGAGAGAGAGAGAGAGAGAGAGAGAGAGAGAGAGAGAGAGAGAGAGAGAGAGAGAGAGAGAGAGAGAGAGAGAGAGAGAGAGAGAGAGAGAGAGAGAGAGAGAGAGAGAGAGAGAGAGAGAGA